GAAGAGAAACTTCAAAACTTCAAAATTTAATACAAATTACACAATAATAATTATATATAAAGCAAATTTAAAACAAAATACAAGAAAATAAATTACATAAACACACAAATATTACACAAATTGAAATACTATAATAATACCAATATTCAGATAACTTTGAAATGCATTGATTAATCATATATGAAAGCACTATGGAAGTAGTTTTATTGAATAATTTGATATTTTATTTGTAATTTATAATTTAGTATGTGTATATTATATATTTTTATATTATTATGTAATGTTTTATTGATTAGTATTGGTTGTAATCTTTTTATATGTATGTTTTAGTTATTCATAAAAGTTTTATGATATTAATTAATTATTATCAATATTAAAGACTATAATGTAAAATATAAATAGTTTTGAAGTTTTTTTTGAAGTTTACCATTGGAGAGTAACACCTCTAAACTTCAAATATGAAGTTTCCCAAACTTCAAATATGAAGTTTCCCAAACTCCAAATTTGAAGTGTCTCTTGGAAATGCTCTTATAAAATTACTTTTTATAGAGAAAATGGTTAATTTCAACCTGAACAATTTATAATGTACCTTTTTCTACCTAAACAAAGATGCAATGCCTTTTTCTACCTGAGCGCTTTAAAAATTCAAAAATTCAATCCAAGCTTTAACTTTTGTGCTTAAAATAAACTTGAGTTTAACAGAAGTTAGTCAACCGTTAAATATAGAAAACGACATCGTTTTGAATTGAAAAAAAAAAATAAAACTGGATTGACGCACACACCAACAACACATAAACCATTTTACTACAAGATCTTTTAACAAATATAACTGAAGTAAACAATATATAACATATCGTTTTTATTAAAAATGTGAATTATACTCTTTTCTTCAGATCCGTTTCTATTGTTTTGTTATTTAGAACATAAATTTCACTTTTTAGTTATTTAAAAAGTGAAATTAATAATGTTATATTAAAAATATGAATTTCACTTTTCAATTTTTTAATAAAAACATTTTTTTAAAAAAATACGTATAGTAGAAATTTTATAAATTAATAATCAATAAATTAATGAACTTTGTAAATTACTAAATTTTTTGATTTTAAATTGAGCTGGTTCAGAATATTACACAAATATATGGTCCCACTAATATAATAAAATAATAATAAAATATTTGTAAACCAATAATAATTGAGATTTAATGGACATGTTTTTTAATTTTACTTTATTAATAACTGAAAAGCGAAATTTATATTTTTAATAACAAAGCAATGAAAACGGATCTGAATTTTACATTTTTAATAAAAAAACGTTATATTATATGTTATTTATTTCAATTATCTGTCAAAAGATTTTGTAGCAAAATGGTTTCTGTGTTGTTGGTAAGAACAATCAAGTTTGTTTTAAGTACAAAAGTTGAAGTTTGAAGTTGAAGTTTGGGTTGAGTTTTTGAGTTTCGAAACATTCAGCGAGAAAAAAGCACTACATCACTACATCTTTGTTTAGGTAGGAAAAACACGTTACAAATTATTCAGGTTGAAATTGATCATTTTTACTCCAAAATTAAAAGACGAGTCTTATATTTATTAAAAGAGAAAATTACATAGGAAGACACTTCTACAAACTGAAATAACAATTTAAAGCACAAAAAATTAAAACTGGATTGACGCACACACCAACAACACATAAACCATTTTACTACAAGATCTTTTAACAAATATAACTGAAGTAAACAATATATAACATATCGTTTTTATTAAAAATGTGAATTATACTCTTTTCTTCAGATCCGTTTCTATTGTTTTGTTATTTAGAACATAAATTTCACTTTTTAGTTATTTAAAAAGTGAAATTAATAATGTTATATTAAAAATATGAATTTCACTTTTCAATTTTTTAATAAAAACATTCTTTTAAAAAATATGTATAGTAGAAATTCTATAAATTAATAATCAATAAATTAATGAATTTTGTAAATTACTAAATTTTTTGATTTTAAATTGAGCTGGTTCAGAATATTACACAAATATATGGTCCCACTAATATAATAAAATAATAATAAAATATTTGTAAACCAATAATAATTGAGATTTAATGGACATATTTTTTAATTTTACTTTATTAATAACTGAAAAGCGAAATTTATATTTTTAATAACAAAGCAATGAAAACGGATCTGAATTTCACATTTTAAATAAAAAACGTTATATTATATGTTATTTATTTCAATTATTTGTCAAAAGATTTTGTAGTAAAATGGTTTCTGTGTTGTTGGTAAGAACAGTCAAGTTTGTTTTAAGTACAAAAGTTGAAGTTTGAAGTTGAAGTTTGAGTTGAGTTTTTTTGTTGAAGTTTGAGTTGAGTTTTTGAGTTTCGAAACATTCAGCGAGAAAAAAGCACTACATCACTACATCTTTGTTTAGGTAGAAAAAACACGTTACAAATTATTCAGGTTGAAATTGACCATTTATACTCCAAAATTAAAAGACGAGTCTTATAGTTATTAAAAGAGAAAATTACATAGGAAGACACTTCTACAAAATAACAATTTAAAGCACTTAAAACATAAGAAGCACTTTAGCTTAGTAAAATAACTGTTTTGCCTTTTTGTTTAGAAACCCCATCTTCTCCAATCTACATTTCACGGCCTTCTTTTACGGATAAAATTGCAGAGCTGCTGTCCAACGTCTCACACCCACACCACTCTTTACCATTTGTCGATCTCCCTCACTAGATTTAAAATCATTCATGTTCTAACCCTAACCCCTTAGTTCGGAGGTGATATCGGGGCTTTATGATGCATCATCAAATATGGGCATCGTCCTAGAAACCATGGCAGGTATATGTTTTGTAGGAATAAGGGATAAACTGGGTTGGATATTTTTTAAGCGGGGAACAAAAGAATACTCCAGCGATAGACGCTGTTTTCCGTAACTAGTACATAAATTTTATACATGTCGATCGTTGTAGCTACTTACCTCGGCACCCTTTCATACCATCCACCGGTGTTGTCCACATTACTCATATGTAGTCTACAACTATAGGTTTGGCATTGTGGATGTCCCAGTTTTTTGTCGTCCATCGTTTATCTCCTGTGTAGACCATTCACTTTTTTTGTAGATGCACTTATATGGATGGAGGTTTAGAGATGTTGTAATGTGGATAGAACATATGACATATAAAAGGTAACTCCTAATTGAACCCCTAGAATTTGAATTCGAGATTTAGGATCTTCAATATTAAGAAGACAACTGAGATGTAACTTAGCAAAATTGGCCAATAATGGATGACAATAATTGAGCGTGAACCAACAATAATGAATGGATAACTAGTAATGGATGAGCAACAGTATCCATACATCCATCTAGGACATCCATTTAACTCACCCCATCTCACACTTGCTCGACCAAGCTGATAACAACGCATACAATTGCATCCTCGTCCATCATATTCTGTCCATTTAAAACATCTTCCACAATTTCTTCATTGGGCATCAGAAAAAAAAAATTTCAAAAAGCACGTATGATCTACTGCCTACTCAGTTATACACTTGATTGGCTCTCATTCTCTCAACAAGATCCTCTCCACATGTTTCATATCAGCACAATATGATGGCTCATGAAATTACCGCATCTACGATATCCATCTAGACCATCCATCTATGGTATACATCGAGGTATCCATCTAGGACATCCATATATAGTATCCATCTATGATATCCATCTAGGCCATCCATCTACGATATCCATCAAGGTATCTATCTAGGACATCTATCTATAGTATCCATCTATGGTATCCATCTAAGACATCTATCTAGTCCATCCATTTAGGATTACCCTGTGGACCATATATATGTTAGTTCACTAGCAATATATGTGATTTGAAAATAATGATTCAAATAGCAAAAGTATATAATAAGTAAAGATAAACTTGACAAAAGTTTAGAATTATACATTGACAAATAAGTGTGTTGTAAATGAACATTTAAAAATAGAGTATCTAAACTTGGCAAATTGTTAATCAAGAGAAAATAAATAAAGATACAATTTTTTATAAGATTATTGACAAATTTCTTGATAAACTCAGCAACCATATCATCTTAGTCCAAACATGTGAACTACGGACTGCCATGAACATGCATCAGCATGAATTTTAGAGACACCGACTCATAGATGCCTTGTTGGTAGTATATGATTCTCTTCCGAATTAGTATAAAAACTTGTAAAAAAGATTGGAGGAGCCATCATGTATAATCAATCATGGGTGAGCAACTCGTGGATGAGTGAAACAAAGAATTATGAACTTTGAAGAATGGATGACTAATGTGGATGCAAGATGATGGAATCAATGAAACGGTAGATGTGGATGCAAGACAATAAAAACATGGATGAATGATGAATGAATAAGTAATTCTAGATGATCAGTATGGATGCAAAGACAATAAAATCATGAGATGGTGAACAATGGATGGAAACCCATGGATGTGAATGTATAAATAAAAGTTAGGTGTAATTGCTAGCTAACAATCGTGATTTTTTTGTGTACTAACAATCAAACAAAGTGGAATGTAACATGAATGATAAAAAATCGACATGTAATCATGATGAAACTGGAAATTGTTCCATGTGTACCAAATCCTATGGACATAATTTAGTGTGGATACCTGCTAAACACTTCACTCAAGGCAATCCACTACTGAATCGCAAACCCGGATGACGATCTTTGAATTATACTCCCCATATGCGAGCTCCTGGCAGACAAATACATCTACACAATTAAATTTCCAACCATCAACCAAAATATGATCAGACACAAACCTAGGCATCGTAATTCCACTCTCCTAGGGGCTCACGCCGATGACACATCGATCAGATATATCCCCTGTTTGAAAACGCTAACTTGGTGATTAAACGGTCGGCGATTGGTTGGGATTTTGGTGTATCAGCTGCAGATTGTCATCGCTTAGGATTCGACGAGATATCGTCAATTAAAAGAGAAAGTCAAACTAACAATACTTCATTAAGAGCAAAATAGACAGTTCAAGCATAAACAGTGAGTCAAAGTGCCTCATTACCCTAAAGTGTCTTATTTTGTAAACATAATCTTAGAAGTGTCTTCCCTCGTAAATGTCTCTTATTAAAAATCAGAAAACACCAAGTACTTTATTATTACGCCACAGAGCAAATTAAGAAAAAGACACTACCGCTTTATTATGCCTGCTTCGTGTCTGAAATCAAGCTAGAAAATCCTCTACTTTCACATGCAGCGGTTTTACACATACACAAAATACAACATAGGATAATAAAGTTCCTTAGAGTGCCTTGAGGATATCATCGGCGCTCGAAACCGTGAACTCGCCACCGGATTCAACGTTGGCTACAGTCACCTTGAGGTTATCGATCAACAGAGCGAATCTCCTTGACCTAACACCAAGACCCTTGTCCTTCAGGTCAAGCTCGAGTCCAAGAAGATGTGTGTATTCACCAGACCCGTCCGCTACAAACTTGACATGCTTGTTCTCTGGGTATGTCTTTCCCCACGCCTTCATCACAAATGGATCGTTCACTAAAACAAAACAGAAGCAAACAATGTCGTTAATATACTATCAAACCAAACTGCATATACAAAAATTCATCAGCGTGTGTGTCAATTATCTTGTTCTGCATTTCTTCTACAATCTTATATTTTCATTGATCTGATTTGAGGAGAATATACAAACTCATACTCACCGCTAAAGCAAATGATCTCATCAACACCCTTTGATTTAAGCTCCTCTGCTTTCTCAATGAATCCAGGAACATGCTTCATGCTAATTCAGGAAAAAGAAAAACACAAATCAAATCAAAATTCTCAAATCGAATCAAAGAAATCATCAAGGAATGAATCGATGAGCATGCTTCATCGTTAATTCAGTAGACAACAAAACACAAACAAATCACAAATTCACAAATCGACGGATTCATCAGCTTATCATCAAAACCCAAACCTCCACAATTCTCGAGTGACAACTAATTTGGGGTAAACATGAAAACTTAATCTGATTGGGAACAAGAATCATATCAATTTCAGTACGAATTTCCGAAAACTCCGGAAAATCAGGTAAAATCAGTAACAAATCTCAATTTGAATCTGAAGATTTCTGAGCTTAGCATCAAATCGTCATATCCACAAAACTCGTGAGTAATAACTAATTTGATTTAGAACATGAAACTGATCAACTAATTTAGGTGATAGTTCGGAGGATTTTACCTGCAAGTGGGAGTGAAAGCACCAGGGACACCGAAGAGAATGACCTTCTTACCGGCGGCGAGAGAGTGAACGGAGACGGACTGGAGCTGATCATTCTCGTCGAAGAAGGAGATGGTTCCGTCTGGTACAACATCGCCGACAGCAATCGGAGCCATGGAGGAGATCGGCGGCTGAAGGAGGAAAGGAGTATAGAAGAAAAGGGAGTGATGAGAAAGTGAAAGAGTCTAAAGAATTGGACTTGAGGCGAAATGTAAATATAGGGGCTTCGGACAATCTTTTTTATCCGTGCTTTCCGGAATTTAAATATAAACCATTCACTAAAATTATTTTGGTTTGATTTTGTTATCCGTGCTTTCCGGAATTTAAATATAAATCATTAACTAAAATGATTTTGGTTGCGATTTTGTTTGATGTAATAATAACTGAAAATCTTCAAGAATACTCAAAAGTTGAAATTTTCCAAAGATACAACAATATTTGTTTTAGGAAACCTTGCTTGAGTTCAAATATATGATTATTTGATTTACCTATGAAAGTCTGGTAAGAATTTTAGTGATTCTGGGTAAAAATAAAATTCGTTTAAACAAGAAATCAAGATCTAAAATAAACTGGTTTATAAAGTTTAGAATATAACTTTTATACACAATATATCTCACATTAAAAATAGAGAAAGATACACATAATCTAAGTTTTTGTTTCTAATATACACTAACACTCTAAAAAATTATTTTCATAACATTTTCACTAAAGACTTGACCATATTAATTTTAGTTAGATAAAACATTAGTTAATAAAGGAGAAGAAATATACAAACAAATGTATCAATGACCAAGACTGATCTGAAATTCAATTTTTTTTGTTTTGTTTATGATCACTCTTCTCATTTAATCATTTGATTATGATTTGTGATTATGAATCTCTTATATCTTTGAGGTTTTTTTATGGGAAAGTGATTTCGGAATTTAAAGCTCAAAATCATATAGTGGAAGATAGATCTGATATAATTAGGTGAAAAGCTCAAGAAATCAAGTTAAAACAACAACAATGGTGAAAAAAAGTAATCAGCGGATATTAGGGTTTGGATGTCGCAGAGGTGAGGAAGGAGATGAGAGTAAATTTAGGAAAATATTCTAAAGTTTTAGGAAGACTTTCCTAAAATGTACTCCCTCTGTTTCATAATAAGTGTCATTTGGAGAAAATGTATCTGCAATATATCTGGATGTACTAAACTCAAAATACATCCAGATACATCCAGTTACAATGCAAATATATTTTCTCCAAATGACACTTATTATGAAATGAATGGAGTATAAATTAAGGAATTCATTACATGTATTTAGGAATGCCTTCGTAAATTGTGTAGTTGATTTTTTTTGTTAATTTATATAACTCAAATTCAGGAAGCCTTTCCAAGAAGTCTTTTCACAAGTCACGACCCTTGCACAATTAAGGAAATTTAAATACTTTAGAAAATCTTTTCTAAATCATATGAAACGATGTTAAATTCTAGTATTTGGAAGACCTTCTTAAAAAATCATGAAACATTAACAAAAAAAAATATTTAGGGGTGGAAAATTTTTAGTTTCCCTATTATATTTGTCCTGAAAATTTGTTTTCAATGTAATTATGTAAATTGCTCTTAAAAATATGAGGCATCTTTTTTTTTTTTTTTTGGTCAACAACCCCAAGTTCCTAAAACAGTTCAGTGAGAAATTGAGGCTGTTGACAAAAAAAAAATGTTGCAGATTGTATCTTTTATATGTAAAAAATGTTAAATCATCACAGTTTGTTTTGGATTAATTTGTTGGTAATTAATTTGAAGTCTTCACGTAAGCAAGAGACTCATTCAATAGTGATTCTATCAAACCTATAATGATTCTATCAACCCTATAGTGATTCTATCGAACCTATTTTGATAAGTAGCAGATCAGACATTGCAGACACTTTAAACCAATGTAGGATTTTGGTGTTGGGGCATGTGATCTACTTCTTAGGCTACAGATCTATTCGATGGAGTATGTGAAGCCAATGGAAAGCCAACTAAAAACAATATAAATGAAGTCTTGCGACTCACAAAAAAGGAGAACTGTCAAATAGACGAATGGTCAAGGGTAGATAAATAAGCAACATCAAAAGTAGAAAATAATTGGCCGATGAGCTTGCAAGGATCTCATCGGTTCATAATACTCCTGGTTGGAATGCTTAAAAGCTCTTACTTGACGTCTCCATACATTATCCTATTGACCTGTCCAGAGGACGTACCTAGAGAGGTATGATCATCTTTCTCTTTTGTCTTATCCGTTATGAGAGAGTTCCAACCCCTACCTTACGATGACTTATAGCCATTATGGTCACCACCAAATAGCAGACGAGAACTATGATCCCTGGACGTAGTACTTCATCCTGAAACCCACTTAAATCCTACCCTCCAGAATATATGTTCCCGATATGACGCTCCTGACTTGGACATCAGAGAATCCTCAGGAGACGGCAGACTCATCAGGTTATATGGACACTACTCATCCCTAGTAGATGAACACGTGAGATAAAGTTCAGCCATGACGACGAACACACATCCCCTCCCTGTAACGATTCCGCAAAAATAATTGGCACTAGAAGAATGGGGAAGGACTAGTGTCTACTGTAATAAATATCAGTAGTTGTAAAAGACTGAAATAACCTAAGGGCGGTGCTGACCACCCGAATGAAGCCTGTAGCATGGCTGCGAAGACTGAAGTAGTCGCGATATTGACAGCTGCAGCAAGTGAACCCGAGGCTCTCCAGATGAAATCGTAAGGAAGAACGTCTGAACCCACAGGGCCATCTGATAGACAAGTCCCAAGGACTCTCCCGTGAACTGTTCCCATTTAAAAAAAGGCTTTTATGAACGATTCAGCCTGTGATAGATCGGAAACCCCGAGCTACCTAGAACGCGCCGAACAAACCATCAAGTTCAAGGTGCAGAGTTAGCGAGGTATCCTAAACAAGAATCAATGCCAATTGAGGTGGGTATCGGCTGAATGCACTAAGCAGCCTATGCCCACAAAGCAGCCCATAAGTCCGTTCACGAAAGTTTCTCGAGCCATCCCATCCGAAAAGGGAGGACAGCCCGCTAACCAGACTAGAGTATTCTAAGAAAATGAAGCATCGTGATGTTGAGAGATTGCTTCATGCCAGCTGAGCTTGGCGGAGATACACGAGGCTCAATTCATAAGAGACATAGACGCCATGATTGACTTCTCTGCGGAAGGAGACTGGGTCCGGCCAGAGCAAGGAACAACCTGTCCAGCTCTACTTAGCCCCCCTTATTGAGATTGGCCGCAAATGATCTATACCTTGGTGCAGTCGCCTTCCCCCCCCCCCCCCCCCAAGAATAAGAGTGCGTGAGAAGAGTGATGATCCCGATGATCCGCTAGCATGCACAATCTTTGATTAATGGGAAGTGAGGGAAATAGCCAAGGCCCAGACAAACATTAAGGCCCATATGGCAGCATTCGAGTTTTGGGGAGTGAGTGCTGTTAAAGATCAAGACAAAGAGATGTGGAATAGATTGAAGCATTCTCTTTATTCATTCTTAAGCAAGTTCCAAAGGGATAAGGACTACAAGAAGATTCCTAATACAAAACTTGAGGAAACTTTATCCTCTACGCGGAAAATAGATAAAACGGAGCGGAAAACCAAACACCCTAAAACAAGGCAGATATGTGTCGTAAGAATGGGTGAAAAAACGAGAAAAGGATCGGAGGAAGCATAGCCGAAGGAGCAAGGAAGACATAAAGGTACATGAACAAAGGCTCATTACCACGTTCTTTACGATCATATGGAGATGGGGGCCGAGGAATCGCAACAACCGTGACTGCACCAGGTCTCCCTACGGAGGACCGTTCCTTTCCATCTTTGTGTTCAAGCCCGGGCTCAGCCCTCCGGATCCCATGCGAGTTCTGTCTTCTGGATTTGCACCCAAAGTTTGTTTGTCCTGCGGAGACTCTCCACCAGCGAAGTGCTCTCCTTAAGACTAATTGGTAGATCCATGTCTTTCGACTCCTGGCGTACATCTTTGTCACCCGACTCCCTGGCCCAAGTCACCAGATTCGAAAGAGACACGATCCATCCTCTAAACACCCACAACTCTGAAGTAGTGGAGTCAATCCTATCCTCTTCCACCTTCAGTCACCTTTCCAAGAAAGACTTCTCTGTATGCAGTCAGAACTCAGTAGTTCGGCCTGGGGCAGTAGGAGATCCCCCTCCCTGGAAAATTGGCAGAGGGTCTATAAGGAGGACGGAAATGATGTACCTCCTAGAGGACACGACTCTCCCTCTCCCTCGACCAGGCCAGAGAGTCGTGCAGGTACACCACATATCCAAACACCTTCACTAAAGCATTGATGGTGGATTCGGCAGACCGGCACCGGTCATCACGGTTGGACCAAAAATCCATCCCCTGAAAGGTCTTGAGGACCCTTCCCCTATTAGACGTCGAGAAGCCTCCGTGTCCGAGAGCAAAGGCTCACCAAGAGAGACAGGATTTTCCGACGGGTGTGGACGGTGATTCAAGTGAGAGCGAGAACTAGACGCAGACCCCTTCAATGGGGAAGGGTGAGAGTTGAGGCGGCTGAGGATGCTTGCGAGCGGACCTCCCGCCAGAACCGACCGGAGGAGCATCAAAATAAGAAGCACTCTCTAGAAACTGAAGACGTTAGGACAAAGGCCGATAGACAAGGGGCTGAACATTGCCGTCCGAAGAATCAGTAATGTCATGAACCATTGGGGACAAGCAAAGTAAAAGAGATACAAGAAAATAAGAAGAGTCAAAGATCCAAATGATGAATAAAGTTGGGGAATCGCCTCTGAATATACAGAAAGGGGCAGAAAGCAAAAAGATGTCCCGAAACATGGAGGTTCAAAGCAAGAGGAAGCAAAAAGACAATGCATGTTGAAGGGACGCAATTTTATGGAAACAGTGCATGACTGGTCATAATGGCGAAAGGCGAAGCAACGTGTCTGCAGCAGAACACAAAGCAAGATAAACAGTGGGGCGAAACTCACCACTATGTGAGCAAATAAAGCCTCGCCCCATATTTGTCTCTGCATACAGATGGAAGCGTATGGAGAAAGCAAAAGAGATATATCATCTGACCCCGTAAATTCAAGCATATTTGAAGAGAGGGAACAGACCCCGATTGAAGGGAAGCTATATGTATAGTAAAGATCACCCGGGGAAAAATAGTTATCCAGCTTACCCGCCATGAAAGCAAAAGTATGACTAGTAACACCATATCCTTTCTGGGGCGTATTTTGTGTGCATTTCCCTCGGTGTTTTTGTTTCTTTGCTTGCTTGCTTGCATCACCTTTTCAGAATAT